TATAGTTTTGGATATTCTATTTTTTGCGTTTTTAGACAGTAGACACAAAGACAAAAAGGTTCTGGACTTAATGATCGCAAGCAACACAGGAACTCAGTCCCCTCTCAATGTCCTCCTGATCAAATTTCGGTTTGTTACTGTCATTTCCAAATATTTTAAATATGCCACATTCTCAGAGGATCTATTAGCTACCTTCGTGTTATGATTTTTGCCCACTTTATGGTGATGAGACAGCAACATATACTTAGTTTTCTCTGCTTTTACTTCTACACCAACCTCCTTACTTGCATCAATTAGAGTTTCTGTGTTTTTTTTACAGTATTTATGTTAAATAGATATACATATCAGCATAGACCAGAAGCTGATATGTTTTATTTAATTTCAGTCCCACTTGTTTTTCCTGGACTCTCCTATTAGCATACTCTAAAGGAAATTTGAAAAGCTGAATGTTGTACTTTTGACAGTCAGATTTTTTATGTGGCAAAGTTTACTGCCCTAACTCTGTCCATTATCATTGCTGATTTCCTGTGAATTCTCATTCCCAGTTGTGGGTTTGAAAATGTCTTCCCTACCCCTTTAACATTGAAATCTCCTAAAAAGAAATCATATGGTATTTAGGGAGTATATCAAATACATGTTCTTCTCATAGAAGCTGTCTTTCATATCATCAATTTTATCCTCTGTTGGGGCATAAACATTCAGAACGATGATATCACACCTGAGACCTTTTAATATTATGTACAATATCCTATTATTAACAAACTCTAGCCTCTTACCTGCTGTTATGATTCTCTTGTATACGAAAATACCTGTGCCTAATTCATGATTCTCATTGCGATTTCAAGAGAAAAATGTAATTCACCTGCTGCTTCGGTGTCATCCCTATCCCATCTGATCTCCTGTACTCCCACAAAATCTAACTTATATTTTGAAAATTCCTTTGCCCCTGTCATGAGCTAACATGCAAACATATGAGAACCACTGGGCTTGTGGGTAGTCATGGGCTTGCTTCACTTGGTCTTGTCCCTGGATTAGTGCATCTCTGTTCTGCTTTATCATATTAGTCACCAAGTACAAGAACTGACCGAGACTGAAAACCCTGCCCCCATTAAATTTCGAGGGTGCAGCCTCATCTCAATAGCCCTCTTTATTAAGGGGTTCATGTATCCCAGTGTTTTATCTATGTAGTTGGGCCATGCTGCTGAATTTGATAGTGTGCCCCATTAAAATCTTCACTATGCCATTGCTGACTTCTCTGGCTGTCCTAGACATATGTGTCCCTTACATCTGGTCTCAATGGTTCTATCCATCTGCTGTCCAATATACACCTCGCTGCATTCACACAGGACATAATAACAAAACTATTGAAGGATGATAACATAAAAAATACACACAGAATTACTGGGTTTTGGGACTTTTTCCATTGTCTGGAATTCTAGGTAATAGAGGGCACGACATTTTGGAAACTGGATCTGTTCCTGTCTTCAGGTGAGAAAGGAAGACACTGTACACTAGAAGCTATACTTCACGTATTCACAATCCAGTCATATCATCACCCAATATTACAAAAAATACAAAATATAATTTTCAAAAATCTCCTCTATATAATCATTTTTCATGAAAATAATGAAATGTGATGACAGAGGCTACTGCTGGCAGAGCTACCTACTGTCAGACTTAGTACCTCCAGCATTCAGCATGGGCACACTGTGTCACCATAATCTCATGTAGTATCATAACAATTTTATTTACAGATAAGTTAGAACAGTGTTAACTGATTCTGCAATTTAATACCATGCTACAAAATAGACATTATACATTTTTTACACATGCAGTGAATATTGTATGTATATTATGTTTTGTGAGTGTCTGCAAAGTTGAAACAATACACATTATTAGACACTGCCTGCTAATTTGTAGGACAAAAAAAAAACACAAAACTTAAAATAACAATACATAAATAGATAATGAATATAAAAAATGAAACACAGAAATGTATTTATTTACTGTGGATTAAATGATTATATAGCAACAATGACCTTCTTTCACAAGGTTTTTGAATTTCTATGAAGTGAAGTAAAATAATGATAACGATTATGATGTATATTGTTTTCAGAATAGATATAATTATCATAAATTTTCAACAGTAAGTGACAGAAAATGGTCCTTCTTTGCAAAGTATTCCTTAAGGCGAACATCAGCATACCTGGAACACAGAAGACAAAATAAGAAACAAGACTGTTCAATTACATCACTTCATCCAATATAAGAAAAATCTCATGAAAATAATATTTTAATATTTTGTTAGCATCTTAAAAGAAAATTTGATTAACATCAACTTCAACTGGTTAATGAATATATTAGTACTACTCTGAATAGAATGTATATGCAGTGAACTGTTCATTATCCATGGTAATCAAGAGAAAAAGTAACACACACAGTTGGAGACAACAGTCAATAAAAAAAATTGAAAATAGCCATTGTGCATGCTGCAGTCAATCGTGATGAATCACTTAAACTCTAGACTTATCCCGCTAACACCACCCCAGCATGGACAGCACAGAAAGCGTTGCTTCCAATAGTTCTTCTATTGTCACATCATGCCGCTGTTGCACGGACCACGCAGAGAACACCGCTTCCCAGATAGTGCATCGACACATGTTAGGAATCTGTTGCCTAGCAACAGGCATTGTTTATGGAGTCAGCAATGGATCTACATGCTCAGTAGTATCCTCCCATATATGCTACATGCCCCATCCATTTCATCTTCCATTATTTGAACATGATAATCTTTGATGAGGCATGTAAACTATGAAGCTTGTATTCATGCAGTTTTCTTCAACCTCCTATTGTTACTTTCCTCTTAAGTACAAACACTCTCCTCAACACTATCTTCTTCTCTTACTGTGAGACATGAAGCTTGACACCCATTCACAAATATAGGCAGGACTGATGGCGGTCCCAACCCAGTTTTGAGTTGGTTTGGTAATTGTCAAATACTTTAATTGCCTCTTGACTATCTGATAGATTATAGATGTTTCTATTTCTCTAGTCCCTATTTAGATTCTCTACTGCATGTGCCTTGATGGCATACAATGAATGAGTATGAATGAATGCCTGGAATACTGTGGTGTATTTCCAAATGCTGAAGCTAAGCTTCTGCCTGTGCCATAACCATACACCCCAGCCCCAATACCCTTGTTGGTGTGTACCACATTAGATCTCCCTCCCAATTGGGTTAAAACCTGACTTTCCATTCACTTCCGTCAGGGAGTCTGATTGTGAAAGGTTTGTCATAGTGTGTCTTAACATCATTCTGTCAGCCCCATCTGTAAGGACAGATTCTTCTTTCATGCCCCGAGTTTTGCATGCATGTCTAAAATCTTCAAATTTGGGTTTCCAAATTTCCAAACTTTATCTGAATAACTTTAATACACCTAAAATACATTAAATAATGTCTCATTTAAAAAGACTCTCTGCATATAGTAATAAATATATTCAGGATTTGTACTCCACCAAACAAAATTTTCTTGTAGTTCCCAAGAGGCAGTAGAATGTATATCTGTGGTCTCACACTTCCCTAAGGTTCAGTATAAAAATAATATTTGTCGTATCCTAAGGGGGCGTGTGGTAGCGTAGTTGGTTGAGGCACTATGCTACAAGCCGGAAGGCCGCGGGTTCAAGTCCCGATGAGGTCATTGGAGTTTTTTCAATTGACCTAATCCTTCCAGCCGCACTATCGCCCTGGGGTTGACTGAGCCTCTAACAGAAATGAGTACCAGGAATATTCTTGGGAGTAAAGCATGGCTGGTGCGTAGGGCTGACAACCTTGCTGCCGCCTATAAGCCGATTGTTTAGAAAATGTGGGAACCTCAACATATCACAACCCTATGGGTCTCCACGGCCTGTTACAGGGATAGCTTTACTTTTACTTTTACTCTTTTTTTTTTTATTTACTTACCCTAAGAAATCGAAGTCTATCCTGGAATGTTCGGCTTGTATGAGGGCCCATATTGCCCAGAGGAAATGTGATGCCAGAGCAAATTTATTTACTTGGACATAAAGGCAACTAATGTCAAGCTCGGTTTTGGTATTGCTCATATCATCATCATCATCACTATCAGATGTATCTGTGATACTGGTGCGAAAAGTTTCTAGGTAAACTTGTAACCATCGCCACTGGAACTCTGCTGAAGGATATGCTGCATAATCTACATCTGCTACACCTGTTTCAAGACAAAGAAAGGAATTTGCTGATTCTGTAATAATGGAGCATGGCACAATACATTCACACCCCCTCCCCCCAAAGTATCATTGCATGGAACAATTAATGATGAGTTTTATCATTCACTTCTTATGTTCTGATTTTAAGACAGTTAACGAATTATTTTAATTAGCATTTTTTATTACTATTAAAAATATTTTGTTGGTAAAACAAGAAGTCCTGGGAAGAAATAATCACCTACTTTCCTTCGATATGACATGGAACGCATAGAAAACAATGCATCCAACAATTCTTCTATTGTTTTGTGCGTATTCTTTGCTACAGGAATGTGTTTACCAAGCCGTTGCTTAGCAATGAGAGGGATATACATACATACAGACACACATTCAAACAGGCACAGTAGACTAACAACAGAGGAACTGCTGGAGGTGGTGTTTTCTTTGCAGTCTGACCCAGATGCATTTCAGCCCTATGAGCAAAGAGTACAGCAAATGCTACTTTCTGACTTCTTGTCCACTGTCTTCAATTATATATTCTATAAGGGCTGTTACAGAGAGATCATGCCAACAGCATTTTGATTCATTTCAGTTCTGGCAATGGTGGGGATTCAATCAGAGCCTTGCATCTAGTCTTTCCTGCAGAAATTATAAGGGAGAACAGAAAATAATTCTTACCAGCAAACTCTGCAAAGTGGTTGCCAATGTCAAAGGCTTGATAGTTGTAGCTGGAATACTCATAATCAATAAAGGTAACAGTTTTCTTCTCGGCATTGTAGATGACATTGGCCAGCAGCAGATCATTGTGGCAGAAGACAACTGGACTACCCAGATTAGACAACTCAGCTTTCAGCACTGCATACTCTTCCTCCAGCTTACTTTTTGGAGGGATCAGCTCCAAGAACCTGCAAAGTTTGCAGGTAAGGGACTGATTCATGGCAGTTGGTGAACAGTCAAACTAATATATTCTTGTGTGATATGTATTTTTTCTTTATTAAATCATTCAGAAACTTATTTGGTTATTCACTGATTTATTTTGTTTTTAAATACACTATGTTTGTCCTTTTAATTCTCTGTTTGCTTATATATGTTTATTATTTATTAACTCACTTAGTTATATACTTTCTTTCTTCCACTTACCTAATTAATTTAGTTATTCAGTCATAACTTCAGTCACATTATTCATTTATTTGTGTTTATGTTTCCTATTTATTAGCTTTGTTATTTAACTACAGTAGTTAATCACTTACATTTTTTATTATTTACTACTCACTTACTTATTGATTACTTATTTATCTACACATTACCATCATTCCTTTCCCTCATTTGCTCATTCTTTTGTTAATGATTAATCAATGCAGTCATCCTTTAATTCATGCACTGATATATTTATTTGCTACACACTCACTAATTGATATCTGACTACAGTGACACACACCAGAAGACAGTTATCTTCATAGTTACCTCTTTGAGAATCAAAAATATTTTTGATAGTTTACTGATGTGTCAGAAGAATGTGCTACTTCCATTTTCAGGATTCAGGATTAAGCCAAGGAAGTACCCACCAAGAAGCAGGTAATAAGATGTGGTATGGCTATTCTGGATGATGGATCATATTACAAGCTTAGGAAAGCTTTACAAGTAACACATGTATATTGATGTAAAACTGTTCAATAAATGTCTCACATTTGTACATAGAGAAAACTGATTTTTCATAACTAATATCAGTTATGGAGGCATTTACAAAATAAAACAGAGTTGAAAAGTGTTCCTCTTAACACTGTTTTAACTTGCGACAAATTATATTCACAATGAGGCAGTAATATGCATGATAGATTACAGATGAAAATAGGCATTAAACTCTAATGTTAGGTTTGTCAGTCACATGGAATGACGAGTTCTTATCCCAATGACAGAACATGGCACTCTGTCAGTTATGTGTTGCTATTTTATGGCTTCATAAGGATGACAGTTATGGATGGATCAATACATATAAAATGCACCATACTGCACATAACTAAGTGGCCAGATACAGAAACTAAGGAGCTGCATGTTGCAAGCATGCATTATGTAACACATAAGAGAGATGAGAAGATGACTGGTAATAGTGAGGTGGAACTGGTGATGAGAAAGCAGTCACAACAAATATGAACAAGGAAAGACTGAGGACGACTACAAGGTCTAATCAAGGCCAATCCTGCGAGATACATGAACTGAATATTTCCAAATACAAAGTGATAATGGTAATTCCACAAAATTCACTACAGTCATTTACAGAACAATGGAGTAGTGTTCTTTTATTGAATTTTCTCCTGAAAAACAATTTTTTTCAGACATATTCACAAAAAGTGTGGCTGTTGAAAATTCTTATAACCATATCAGTGACACCTGTGAGCTGGAAAGATGTTTTCCTGTGTTACACAGGATCAAGTCCTTTCAGAGAAATACAGCACATGGGAGCCATGCTGACAGCAGAAAGGGAAGTTATATGTACATGGCCTGACTTCAGCAGCTGAGCTATACCAAAATTGGTACAGCTGAAGAACAGGTGAATGGACTTTATATAAAAGTGATGTGAAATTTGCAGAGACAAAAGGTAAAGGAATGTGTAGGAAGGTAATTAGAAAGTTTGGAATATACGTAATGAGAATAAGTGAAAATAAATAACTGCGTACAAGTACAGTGTGATGCTAAGCAAACAATTGCGAGTGAAAAAACAGAGGATAATAAAGATTAGAAAAAAGTGCCAGAACAATAGCAGGAAGATAACATTCCTGTCAGGTACACAGACATTTAATGTATTGCCATTCATTTAGAGGAAGCCGTTTGAATCTCCACAACTGTCATTAAGATTCATAATAATATAGATAAATATGGTATGATAACAGTTTTTCAAAAACTACATGACAGCAGTACATGCTGTTAAAATTACTTACACTTCCTAGTAGCAACATTGTTTTCACTGGTTCTGAAACCCCTGATACCGACATTTAACGATATTAAAATGTGCCAGAACTCAACAATTTTGTGTTATATTTAGTTGCAGAGATTTACCAACATGAAAATGAGGCATGAGCTACCACTGATATCAATATGTTTCAACATACAAAAATGTTCCATACCATACATTTGTATTGTACCATTCCACACTTCAAGAACCTGGTTAAAGCAGCTCAACACTTGTTCTGATTGACTAACTAATCAACTAACCAACTGACTGACTAAGTGGCTGACTGATTGCCTAACTAACTACATGGAACAGAATTATTCTGGAGAAGCTAGGAGTCATTATCTCAGTCCTGAAATTCCCTGCTTCTATGGAACATGAAGATTCACTGGGTTCACAAGAACCCAACATGTTCATGGCCCCATATTACATTTAAAACGTGCTATGTATTTACAGTGTGGGGTTGTCATACTCCATATTTGAAGGCCATCTCCTGCAGCCATTACTTGAGGACATGCCATGCTGCAGTGATAAGGGACCAACTTAACATTGCCATTTGTCCTCATTAAGGTAGATAACTTTGTTGCCATTTCTATCGTAGACCAAAATCATCTTAACAACAACTGCAGAAATTTACAATTTTCTGGATCATACTAGTGCTGGTCCTACTCAAAAATTCATACACCTGCCATGACATATCTGTCTGATGCAGCAATTTAAAAACTGGAGTGAGCATGAACTTGTTTATTTATTGCTCACTAGAGCTCAGAATCACACAAGATGTATGACCCACTGAGAACTGATACCTGGCCTGCTTCTCAGCGCCCTCAAACCTCTGTGGCATGATGTCCAGGAACTGCTGGATTTTGAGCCAGATACTGGGCTCCTTTGGCACATCATCCCCACCATCCATTCTGTGCATGAGGGCCATCATGCGTGCCACCAGTGGGAACACATCAGGATCCCTGCATGATGTACTGTTGAGAATCACTCCTGGGACATACTCATATGCCAGCCCATTGCAGAAAGTAGCATACAGGCGAGGAGCATAGCCAGCATTATGCAGAAGCTGTGAATATGACATTAACAGGTCATTAACTTAAATGAAGAACTGTAGCCATATGACTGAGTGTGTTTGAGAGCAAGGTACTGAGGAGAATATTTGGACCGAAGAGGGATGAAGTGACGAGAGGCTGGAGAAAACTGCATAATGAGGAGCTTCATAACTTTTACTCACTTGGAATCTGACCCCTGACCTCCAATGGTGGAACTATACCTTCACTCCCCATACATCACAATGGCACGGTGCAAAATAATTAAGCACAGGAACAACTTTACCTTTACTTTTACGTTAAGTTTTATGGACACAAAATACATACATTGTTACTATGAACTGTTCACTTTCCCAAGTACAAAAGAAATAAAAACAAGGGCGTTGAAGAAAATAAAGACGAGAACCTGGATGTTGCGGGTTTCGGCATTCCGGTCGATCAGAAGATCTGTCTTGTGTCCATACACTCTGATGAGGACAACATCCTCTGGAGATTCTTCATAGAAACAACCAAGAAGCTTGTTGGTAATTCCATCGGTAAACACCTGATGAATGAAAAAAAAAAATGTCATTATGGAAGGTGTACTTGTGAAATTAAAGCTAGGATTGCCATGGCAAAAGCTGCATTTAGCAAGAAGAAGAATCTTTTTACCAGCAAATTGGACTTAAATTTGAGAAAGAAACTAGTGAAATGCTACATTTGGAGCATGGCTTTGTATGGGCTGAAACTTGGACACTTAGGGCAGTAGATCAGAAACACCTGGAAAGCTTCGAAATGTGGTGTTGGAGAAGGATGGAGATCAGTCGGACCGATTATGTGAGAAATGAAGAAGTGTTATTTAGAGTCGATGAGCAGAGAAATAGCCTACACGAAATAAGAGAACGGAAGGCTAATTGGATTGGTCATATCTTACGCAGTAACTGCCTTCTCAAAGAAGTTATTGAAGGAAAGATAGAGGGGCAGATAGAAGTGACCATAAGACGAGGAAGAAGATGTAAGAAGATGCTGGATGACCTTGGGGACAGAAGAGGATATTTTCATTTGAAGGAGAAAGCTCTAGATCGCATTAAGTGGAGGAACTGTTTTGGAAGAGACTGTGGACCTGTCGTCTTGACAGATTACTGATGAATGAATGAATGTACACTCACAACAATGCGCGTTGAATGCCACAGTTGGATTTATTTGTTCACTTACTTAACGACTTCTACTATAATGTAGGATTTGAGCTTCTGACAGCAGTGGTTATGAAGAATTATACTTCTGGGCTGAAGCTTTAGGATGTTACCAGAAGGAAAGAGAGAGACACAAGGACTTGCCAAAAAATGACAAGGAGTTCTAGGAAGAACTAATCGACTGCTTTTCCTCTGATACGACATGGGCCGCATAAAAAAAAAACGACGTGCCCAACAATTCTTCTATTGTTGCGTGTGTATTCGTTGCAGCGGTAACGTTTTCACTGAGCCGTTCCCTATCAACGATAGCGTAGTCGGTACCGCGACTGGCTACGGGCTGGACGACCGAGGGGTTGCAGTTGGAGTCCCGGAAGGGTAAAGAATTTTCTCTTCTTCACGTCGTCCAGATCGGCTCTGTCCACCCAACGTCCTATCCAATGGGTACCGAGGGCTTTTTCCCCGGGGGTAAAGGAGCCGGGGCGGGAAGCTAACCACCCACCTCCAGCTAATGCCGAGGTCAAGAAAAATATGTTTCTCTACATCCACTCCCCCATACGCCTTCATGGCGTAGTGCTTAATTAGTTGAGCACAGGGACAGCTTTATTTTTAGGAGGTCCTTATGATAAACTTTCAGCAGTGCACCCGGTTCTTGGCGTCACATAACCTATGTTCTAATGGTACAGTATCTAATCGGTAGCCACAAATTGGACAGCCCTTCAAATGCATCATTCATTCTGTAACAATATAAG